ATCAAGTCGCCTCTAGTTCTGCGATAAGACAACGGGAAAAGGTTCAGCTTGGCCAGTCGAGATTCATACGGAAGCTTCGCTGTTCCGGGAACCAGCTTAGTCGCTGTTCTCTGAATCTTTTCCAGAAGCTCACTGTCTTTTTTAAGCAGGGGCTAGCCGCTTGTATGCAGTACTCAAGTTTAGGACGTACGAACACTGTATACAAAGTCAAAAACGTCTTAGTGTCGACATGACTAAAAGCCCTACGTATTGACCATAAGGTTCTAAACGCTTTGGCGGCTATTGCACGGCAGTGTGCAGTAGTCTTTAAGTCTTCACTAACGATAACTCCTAATTCATTATATGTCTGGACGACAGGTAGCTCAGTGTTATTCATCGTGTATGTATCTGTGCCTTGATGACCGATATGCATCACAACACACTTGGAAGTATTTATCGGCAACTGCCATGTTTGAGACCATTCAGATAACTTCTTCAGGTCATTTTGAAGTTCTAAGCTATCACTCTTACATCGTATCGTTCTCCATATCTTGACATAGTCAGCATATAGCAAGACCGATGATGATAGGAGACAAGGAAGGTCATTTACATACAAGGGGAATAACACTGGCCCCAAAACTGTACTCTGGGGCACTCCACTAATCTCAGTTTCCCAGCTAGATAACTTTGAGTTCACCCGAACTCTCTGTTGACGCCCAACTAAGAAGTCTTTTATCCACATCAATAAATTGCCTCCAATCCCGACAGTTCTTAACTTATATAACAGCCGGTTGTGTGGAACTTTATCAAAAGCTTTACTGAAATCAATGAAGGCGACGTCTACAGGTAGCTTTTGGTCCTTAAGAGCGCACCAGCTTTCACGAGCCACTAATAAGTTAGTGAGACAAGAATAACCTATTCTGAAGCCGTGCTGCTTCTCCGAAAGGATCCGGTTTTTATCGAGATACTTAAACAGCTCCTTCCGAATAATCTTTTCTAAGATTTTAACAACCACACTAGTTAGGCTAACGGGGCGGTAATTCTCAGGTTTGTGTTTCGTACCTGTTTTGAAGACAGGACTTACTACGGCGTTTTTCCAGTCTTTTGGTAAACGACCCTGCGTAACAGATAGGTTAAAGCATATACTTAAAAGGCTTGCGACGAAGTTAGATAATTCCTTCAGTAGCCTGGGATGTAATTCATCGGGCCCCGCGGATTTGTAGTGGCATTGGACAATAGCCACACAATCCACAAAGCTGTGAACACGAGACTACTCAGAAAATAGATGTTCAAAATTTAAGGGGAGAAATACCTAACAATGGAGAAGGTGCGAACAAGGAGTTGAATGGATTGGAGTTTATTGAATGGCATGGCTCGGCCATGCAGGCGTGGTTCTTGTGTAATATTACCTTATATCTTTTATTCATACGAAATATATTGTTCTTTCTCTAGCCTAAGCTTGTTCTACATCATGTATTGGTAGTTGTTACGATACAATGAGTTGGTGTAGACGATGATGTGACTTCCACGTAAGATCTTATAGATTAGGCAGTTATGTCATGACAAATCTACAATTTTAGGATTAGGTCTATTATTAGAGCAGTACTAATATCATAGTAGACCATAATTCTACAGATTTACCTATGTCGAGCTTATTTAGTAGACCAAAGACATCGAGTTCCTTAATGGTCACGCTATCCAGTGTATGTGTGGGGGATCTGTATGCGCTGATGGGAAGGGTGCTTCTATGGTGTATACATTGCTAAAATAATTTGAGAACACTTGAGCCTTACCAAAGCCGTCCCCCACTAGTGATGTGGCAGTACTGTCTCCTCATAAAGCAGGAATATTTCGTTTTTATCTCCTTGTCCTTTGGTTTATATAGGAATACAAGCGTTTGGGACATTCTATGGATTCCTTAACAAGTTTTCCTTCGTACAACTTTCTAGACTTACGGAGGGTCTAGGCACAAGTATCCCGAACTTTTCTATACTGGGATTTGGTTTCATCAGTCCCCAGTAATCTAAATCTATCCCAAATTTTTCTTCTCTTACAGAGAAGGATGCGGACCTCCCTACTGAACCATGGTGGTGAGTTTCTCGGCCTCCTTGATATGATCCAAGGGATGTGAGGTGTGGCAACTTTTAAGTATGATTTTCGAAATGTGTCCCAGGCCGTTTCAACTGAAGGCTCTTTGTCTATTGTCCAATCTACTAACGATGCTGAGTGCATGATGTCTGGTATATTTGCTTTCCAGACGTTGGGTCTGGACTGGACTGACGCGTGCACGTGACTGGCAGTTATATGGAAGTCGAAAGATAAAACTGCGTGATCACTTTTACCTAGGGGTGGCATATGATGGAGGTTCGCAACATCATCCTCATAGTGAGTCAGTATAAGATCTAATAAGGATGATTCAGTGTCCGGATCGTACCTTGTCGCTTCTTTCACATGTTGCACTAGAGCACATGTGATAACCCCATCAACTAGTTCCTGCTCGAAAGAATTCTCCGACGATTTAGCTCGCAGATTTTCCCAGACTACCATAGGTGCATTAAAGTCCCCTAGGATTAGACATCGACCACTTTGGTACCAAGTATTGAGACTGCTTAACAGGATCTCATTTACCTCACAGCTTGGACTGCGATAGACCAAACCAATCAGCAGCTCTTGTCCCTTGCATTTTAAGCGAAGACTAACTAATTCACACGTCCCACTCTCATGGGATACACTATCGATAATGGCGAATGGGATAGCATTCCTAATGAATAGAGCTACTCCCCCTCCTTTGCGCTTTTGTGTTCTGTCGGCCCTTACTAACGTAAAGCCCTGGAAATCAAGTTCTATACTATCTATAGCCTGTGTCAGACAGGTTTCTGTGACTGCGATTATGTCTGGCGTTGTAGAGTCAATCTGTACACGTACTTCCGATCGCTTATTAAGTAAGATTCGTGCATTGGTGTAACAGACGCGAAGCCTATTTAAGTGGCTTCGGCATGATTCTCTGTCGAAGCCTTACAACCCGAAAATTTACAATTTTTAGATCCTTTTCGCCAGCGTCTAACCTAAGTTGTAGTTCTTTCTCGGCTTCCCGTCTTTTAACACGGTCTGCCAACGGTAGGTCCTTTCGGATAAAGACTCCTGAACCCTTTAATTTGTGTCCATTCTGTAAAATCAGGTTACTTTCGTTCGAAGAGTTGAATACTACCTTAAGCAGTCTGGAATGATTTGGTTTCGAGTCCGCTAGACTCCCTAATCTGTACACCTTTGTCAAGGTGACCTCGGTCATATTTTGAGGCATGAGTTGATTAAGCAGCTACCTAATCAGTACAATGTCATGCTCAAAACGAGCTTTAGGTTCAGAACTCTCGCTCTCCTCGATTCTATGAAAAATGGCTGATCTGTCGCTATGATCAGCTTTCGATTTTTCAACTACTTTTTCGGGGACAGGGTTCCTTTTTATATCCCTACTTTTCTTCCTTACAACCTGTACCCATTCGTCAACGGTGCTGGTAGAAGCAATAACAGCTGCGTCAAACTAAGTGCTGGATTTTGGGGGGGTTGTCGACGACCTGAGAGGTCGGGTTATGTTTACCGCATGAAACCGATCGAGCCTTGCGATTGCGGCTTCTAGGGGTCTCCTGTTGGGTCCCATCTGGGAGACGGGGAACAGAAGACCCTACTTTTCTTGGGCTTTTGTTTAAGGCAGGTCCCTTTTCGTTCTTTGACGGGCGTGAGTCATCTATCATCGAACTAACCTTAGTTTCCTTCACGTTGATTGGCGTGTTGACAGATCGAGTGCTGTTCGACGTGTTCCGACTATGCTTGCTAAAACACTTCTTTGCAGCATCAACTAGTGAGATGGCCTCGGTTAACAAGCTGTTTACATCCGAGCAGCACCGTTGACAAAGCCATACACAACCCCTCTTACTGAACCGTTTGAAAGCAGCAGGCGTTAAGTTCGTGCAAACTTCGTGTTACCAGCCTTTGCACTCGTCGCACTGCACTCCGCTTTCGACAGGATAACGACAACCCGGACGTTGGCAACTGCTTTTTTTACACTGTCCGGTCATTTAGGAGGGGTTCTTTTTCAAGATGCGATGATACTCAGAAACAAAAAAAATAATCAATGACCAAAAAAGTGAAGAGCTGTAGATTGCTAGGACCAAAAGTACTAACAGATACAGTTGAAAAAGAGATACTCATGAGTACCAACGACAAAAGTAAATTGCGAGAACAGTAAAAACGATACTCTAGTCGAATACTTTAACTGGTAAATTCAATTAAAGTGAAAACAGTAATCTTGATACGTAATAAACGATCAAAACAATGAAATTTACTCAGCGAGGAAAAATACCACTGTCCTTTTTAAATAGCGCGCGTCGTTGTTTTGCTCGAGCAACAAGAACTACAAAGCCAATGAGAGTTGGGCTTTGAGCACCTTTTATATGCAGTGGGGCTTAATCGGGTTCACATCTTATGGAACCACTTATTACACTCATTACACTGCATCTCTTCCTCCACGAGGAATAAGCAATACGGTTGTCCACACTTATGAGCAGAGCTAGCCAGCTTGAAAATCAACTACAATACTGACACAAATACGATATTTAAAAGAATTCTCAAACCTTAACTAAATAAATCAAGTAAAAGTCGACTAAGTATGCTTCGATGCAATAAATACACAAAAGCGAAGTCGAAACACTCAATAGAATATCACTTTAACTGTAGTAGATGTAGTTAAAGTGTAAACAGTAGTTTTGATGCGCAATTTACGATCAAAACAGTTAATTAACTCAACGAGAAACAATACCACTGGTTTTTTTAAGATGGCGCGCTTGAATTACCGGAATTCTCTACCGGAACACGTAGTATCAGTATCTCCTGCCAATGTATTCGAAACGAGATTGAAACTCTACAGTGTAACAAACTGCAAGGACTAATATAGGTCTATAGACCTATCTTTATTACTGAAAACTGGATCTAACGCGGTCTGTTTCACTGGAACGTTACACTACCATATGGCCAAAAGACGGGCCGATATTGAGTTGAATCAAGATAACTGGGATGATGATTTGAGAGCTACTACTAAGGGAAACTTCGATAAAGCAGACAAGGACATTATTTCACAAAGAAAAATTTTGACAGCACGTACTAACAGAACATCTGTAAGCCTACCATTATGTAATTATCTACTTCTCATAAGAGTGGAACGTCTGGACTATTTAAATCATTTACCGCTTTTTCTGACTGCTCAAGTGGAAACCCAGTATCATTCGATTTCGGACTCAAACATTCAAGTGTTAAAGAGAATGGCCATAAGGATGAAGAGACTGAGTATCTTGAACACCTACAAACTCTCAATCAGAGCTTACTCGAATGGATAACAAAACACATTAAAGAAGACCCATTTTGTATTCTCAGCCCGATATTCTCCGATTACGACAAACATTTATCGGGAATCAACTCTAAATTTCCCAAACAATCATTAGTAGGTGCGGTTTCACTGCCGGAGAAAAAAGAAGCTGGCAGTCACTCAATTGCCAAAACATCTGAAGTTATTGAGACTCCGGTCAAGAGTGCACCAAATCCCGTTTTCTTTTTCGGCAATTCCATACCAAAACCCACACCTATATCTTCTGGCTCTTCGACTGATTCTACAGATAAGAAACCTATATTTTCATTTGGGTTGCCGCCTATCACGACAACTAGTACTAATTTCACTCAGTCGCTTTTTCAGTTTCCCAGCGTCTCTAGTTTTTCACAAAAACCTGTGAATCTCGATCCTAAACAGAACACTAGTAATCAACAAGGGGATGATGACGGTATGCTACCTTTTCAAACTAAATCCTCTTTTAGACGAGGAATATATTCCTCCCAAACCAGAGGTTAAAGATTTCAAAGAAGATGGGTCAGTTTTCACTACAAGGTTCGTTTCTCTTTAACATTCAATTGAGTGTCTGTACGATTTATGTGTATTTATTTATTATTTGAACACAAATATTGGTACAAAGAGGCACTGAAATACATATGCGCCATACAAGTCACTTGGTTTGTGTGTAGACTGTGTTACTGCTCCGGGTGCCCAAATTGAAGCAAGTGGATTTTTTAGGGGGCCACACCCGAAGTCTTCGACTTAAAGGTCTGATCCACAAGGCAGTGAAGCAACGTCAGGAGATGGAGTCCCATGGTAGCTGGTGACCAACGATTGATTCATACGCCATTTGTTCTCCCAGGGTCCTGGAGCTCATGTGCATCATTGGTTTATGATCGGGGCTCTCTAACTCCATCTGCGTCCACTGACCCTGTTAAAGCGCCGGATATTCGCTTTTTGTCTTGTCAATTTCGTAAATAACACCCCACCACGAGGCGGTGAGTAGGACTCTAGAATAAAGCATGAAGTTATCTTGAGTAGGTAGGGATGGCCTATTATCACAGTCTGTATTATTATTGAGATTCAGTCTAAACCTAAAAATATACAAAGATGCTAGTGACATCTACTAAATGATCCTGCTTTCTCAGAATTTGATGGGAGTTTCGAGTATCCAAAATAACTGGTCCATGCATTAATGTCCTTACTATATCCTACCTGTTAATCGGTCTTCGTAAAATCAAACTGCTGAAACATGACATAGGAACTGTTCCAATTATTTGTTGTTAATATGAAATTCTTTTAAAATAGTAGAAAAAGGTCAAATTCATATATTTAATCCTTGTAGTGACTAAAGGGCTTACGCCCCAAGTTTTTTCATCGTGTCTTATTCGGACTCATGTAGTTGCTTCATTCCTAACATAATCAGATTTGTGCAGTAAGGACAGAAGACCCATGGCCTATGCTATTCGTTTTCTAGTATGCTTCTGTGTTAATTAAAGGTGAAGACACCACTGCTTCGGGTAATAGGTTCCAAGAATTAATGACTCGGTACGAAAACATGTTTGCCATGAGTACTTTGTTCGTTCTTGGCTTTTCTACTCGCTTGCTATGTCCTCTGAGTTAATAGGAAGAAAAAGAAAACACATCGGGTCCAAAACCGTTTCTTAGTATTTTATACAGCAAAGTCACATATGGATAATAATTGTGTTAATGTCATTTTGACCATGATTCTATGAATTATAGTCTATTAATAACCCTTATATTCTCCTTACATATTCATAGGTGTAAATTATTCTACAAAGCGGATAGTGAGTGGAAAGAGCGTGGACTTGGAAATTTATTCATCAAACCAACGACAAACGATAAATTTCAATTACTCATCCGAGCTGATACTAATCTCGGTAAGGTGCATAGAGATTTAAAATAATGCAGATCCATTACTGTATTTCACCCCAGGATTGATAGTAGACTTTCCAATTAAAATTTATGCAATACTTCAGGTTCAATTCAATCAGTAATCTAGATTCGAAGAGTGCTCCTATTAAGACTTTAGTATCGTTAACTCCAAGTACTTTTACGTTTTATCATACGTTCTTGCACCATGCTAATAATTTCGTTACTTCGACTTCATTATCGTAAACAAAACTACTCATATGCTCTTCTTTTTCCCTGTCCCATTAATTAGAGTGAAATACCAGTTTTTTAGATGAAGCTATTTGATGTTGACCCAATCTAATCAGTCAAAATATATGAAATTTGTCGGTTATGTATCAATCAAAAGCGATTAGAATAATTAAACTGAGTATCTTTCGTTCACCCGAAATATGGTAAGAATGTATTAAAATCCCATGAACGATGTTCGCAGTGAAAAATTTACTACAATATAATTCCAACCTAATTGATTTGATTCTCATAAGTTTTAATTTGAGATCGGATATCTCCAACTATTAATTAGTTTTTTTACCCCCAAAATTCTAATTTTCTAGGCAATATATTGCTAAATATACTGGTTACAAAAGATGTGCCTATTAAACAACAGAAAAACAACTTGACTTTAGTTTGTATCCCTTCACCACCTTTACCATCGCAGGCTAAATCGTCCCTTACCAACGAAGAAGATAATGGGCAACCAAAACCAGTTCCAATGTTGATACGTGTGAAAACTGAAGAGGGAGCTACAGAGTTACTAAGTCAAATGGATTTGCACAGGGGTGTCTCAACGAAGTCATAATATTGAGATGAGTTTTTCCCATCGTTTCTGTCTACCTCTTATTGACTGAAAATTATGTTTCGTGTTTTGAAGATTACATTCAATTTTTTTTTCCGAACAAAGATCGTTTTGAAAGTAACTTTTGTTTTTATGTGAACTACATTGTAAAAAAATTGTTGTGGACTTCTTTGATGAAATCAGGGTTCTGAGTGTTACTAGTTTTCTCTTATCCCGATACTTTTACCATACGTTACGTCCACCCGACAGTTACTCGGAAAGGTTATCTAAGTTCGGAAAATTTGTGTATAATGGGTATGTGGTAGGAAAACTTGAATTACCATAATTAACAGTAAATAACTGGAATGGTGAACGTTCTTGATCCTGTGGATACGCGTAAGTGATTAGGTGCCAAACTTAATCGGGTTAGGAAACATCATCTTTGTTACACCGAACACACATTTCGTACGAATAACATTTAATTTCCCGTCCAAAACAATAGAATTAGCCCTTGGCATTGTACATGCTGAAGTGGTACTCGTCCTATCTATTACTATTCATTTAGACACAAATACTAGTAAAACGGGCACCAATAATATATATTCACCAAGCAATAATGATGAGGTTGTGAAGAGGTAGTGAAAGGAAGATATGGTAGAAAAAATGGATAGAAATTAGTGTGTAAGGAAATAATAATAATGAAAGAAGCAATCCAGTTAAGAAAAGTACAAACAGAAACGATTCTTTCAATTCCCCCTCATTCATATGAAGAAAACTGAAGTTACACCAGGACCGCCACCGTCTTAAATTCTGAACCACTGTGTTGCACTACCTCTAGCACCAGGGAGTTGTAAGGGACCAACAGATGCCAGTCTTATACATCTTTCCTTCATATCACGACAGTATGTCATGCACTGGTCATCTTTTCGCTTTTTCCAACCAGTCCCGGCGTCGGCAAATAATGCACGACGTGGAATCCGCTGGATCGATATTCGAAGTATATATACAAGCCACTGAGGTCAGCTTTTTGAAAAGATAAATTGTAGTCACTCCAAAAGTTGGAGTTTCTGGCATACTTCCACTTCGTTAGGTTAATCAGACTACACTGACCGGGGAGGACAGAACGGTCTGATCGATGTCGCCGAAGTAGCAGATCATTTGGACTGCTCTCCGAAGAACAATGCCCATCGTCCAAGATTGGCTTCCCATCAACTTCACTCACACCAGAATTCTCGCTGCCAGTGGCTCGAATGAGGTGAGAGAAATGTGGCTGCTGCTTCCAACTCACTGGCACACCCGACCACCAGGATTTTCGGTTATTACGCAAGATTTGCACAATTTCATAGCGTAAAATCTTCGTCTATGGTCAAACTCGCCAATTCGCTTACATCAGTCCGTTTAGGATAACGACTTAGTTGGCCACTAAGACAAAAGATAAGATTAGCGCACACAAGGGCATGATCAGATCTCCTGGAAGAAGATCAATTCCTAGAAATGCAGTCGACGAGCAAGCTATTCCTAGCAGTAGGTCTATGATGAAATTAAACAGAAATGAAGATAGTAGATGATCATCTCCAATTGTTTTCGGTGGGTAATTGCCTCACAGCTGACACGGTTGAACTCCGATGGTCACGACTACTTACTAGAACTCCGAGGATTCCCTTTGAAAGCTAGTCACTAGTGAGAACATAATAATTTTCAGTTTGGGGTTGTCTGACATTGATCGGTTTTTAACGATTTTAACGAAATCCAACAATGTACACAACCACAAACTGAAAATATTAGCAGTAAAGTTGTATAAAACTAACTAATTTTTGTTTTTCCATTTCAAATTTCCGATATACTAATTGGGTTGTATCTTCTGATTATTGACACTGTGGTATTTATGATCTTGATCAAACATTCAACATCGAACAAGAAGTGGTCAATTTCTAAATGATAACGAACAGTTTTGTGTAATGGGTAAAGAATAACACATAATTGGGAAGATATCACTTCATATATAGAAATGTCAAAAATTTCACATATTATTCACAAAATAATTACATTGAATAATACAGATCAAAGATTCTCTACAAGTAAGATCGGATATGAGGGATAAATCTACTTAACACATTAGATACTTTTTATTCAATTGCTTCTCTTCTGAATTTCTATTTTGTACCTTTATGACTTTCATCCGGAGAAATTTGTAAATCAGAATAAACAGGAAATGAAGATTTACTATGAATGTTAGACGATTCCACTTTATCAGTATGTAACAATCCTTGTTTAATCATTTCTTGACGTTCTTCATTATATTTTACCTGACAAAAACAAACAAACACATGATGTAGATTGTCATCATTATTATTCATTTAAACAATTTCTACTATATTTTTCTTCGTTATGTTGGATAAATTATTAGCGAAGTTTTTACTGTGTATCTTGATAACATAATCAATCAATCTAAGAATCATTATTGCCAGCGAAGTGAATACCTTTGAACATCAGCCACAGGATTACATAGATATAAGTAACATTCGATGGAGTTTTAGTGGAGTGTTATATGTTTCCATAAACCTTTGGCGGTATCAAATATTAAAAAAAAGAAATAATTATTGGTTGATATATACGCTTACCCAAGTACTTTTGTTAAGCATACTTATAGTTGTTGGTTCTTCAGCTCAGGAACTAATGGGACAGCAAGATGTAGTGCTTACTAAAATATCGCAAGCTGGTTTTCGGTTACAAAAAAAAAGAAAATGTCAATTCTAAGTTTAATTTGGTTGTTTACTCTCTGAAGAAGTGACTTACACTAAGTCACGAAACGTCAGAAAATCTAATTTTTCTACTCATTGGGATATTAGAAATATATTACTTTTATTTATTACATTACTTGTTTATGATTTCCAAATTTTCTATAAATCAATAGAAAATCTTGGACAAACTGATGTTTTATCTCGACTAATTGTCAATCAGCAGCAAGAAAGTGAAGATACTATTATTTCAACGAGAAGAGGATATTCACCAAATAATACAAGTTGTTATAAGAGCAACACTACTATCCGCCGAAGATATTAAATGCTGTACTCAAGAAGACAACGAGCTGAAACGGACAATTAGTTACCTCGAATATGGGTGGCCTACTAATATGGATAGCAAAAACACTGAATTTATCAGGCTAAATCTCACAATAGTAGAGGTAGTAACAGTATCAGGTGTAATAGAAAAAACTAAGCGTCAAAGATACGATCCAAAAAGAAAATATAAACTGGAGAAATAAAAACTGTTGTATCCTTATTGTGTAAGTGTTTAGTAATTAGATCATATGTATTTATATTTCTTTTATCATAAGCTTTGAATTGACCTATTAGCTATTATTACACGGTTTACTACTCTTGAGTTATTCCCAATCTATTAGTTACAGACTCTCACAGCCACTTTTGGCTTGATCTTGTATAATTTTTATTTTATGGTGTGATGTGGTCTGGTTTGTTTGCATATAAACTACGTATATCTGAAACGTACTATTCATACAGTGGAGGCTGAGATTGCTTTCTGGACTCAATGGGCAGGGATAAACGAGAAGGACCAATAAAGATTCAGAGTTAACATATGGCTGCTAGTACTGTTTTGACATGTCGTTGGTTTAGCATAAGAACATGGTTATAAAAGTCAGTATTCGTATTGGCGACTTTGTCACATGATGATTAACAAGGAGAAAGTCATGAAAAACTTATGAGGAATCTAGAATCTTAGGATTTTGGAGTGGACACAGAAAAGATGCAGCTGTGCCATTCCAAACGATTTTGAGCCATGTCATTCAAAGTTTAACCATTGGCTACGATAATCACGCGAACCACAACCAGGTAATCTATACTTGTTAACATGACTAAGTCTAATTGTCAGTAACTTCATGTACTGATGCCATGTTTTGGCTTGGTCGCCCCTAGCTTTCTAGCTAGCGACTGCTGTACCAGAAAACATCACCCGTCGAGGTAGACGACGGTGACCTACAAATATCCTCTACTTTTAATGGCTACGTTTCACATCCACAAGCTATAACGGAGCAAACTGCTGTGCAGTAAACCCGCCCTTTGGTTGGAAGACGGATATTTCACCTACACCTGAATCTGTGCCGAGATTTCGTCAGACATCAGTACTGATGAGACTTCCAGGAAAAGTGGGGCGGTCGATAGGTTCAATTACTTCACTACCTATCAATTATTCGGATGGTGATGCAAGCCGATCCTGAAGTAACATTTTACATTTGCAGGGCGAACAGGATCACTAACATCCTGGAATTGTTGCTTAAGGTGGTCAGAAGACTGCATTTTTTCAGTGTCTTCTGCGAACAGAACTATATCATCTCCGTATTCTAATCCAACAAGCGAAATTCCTGGTAAAAGATCAACTCCTGAAAAGTCAGACGATGAAAGTGTTCTCTCTAAAAGCATGTCTATGTCAAAGTTAAATTAAAATTGGGAAAGCGGACAACCCAGACGAACACCATTTGAAGTAATTAGTTCCGATGACAGTACAAGATTGATGTACTTCTTTGGTACGCCTTTCAATGACAGACACTACCGTAGAACCTCACGATCAGCAGAGTTGAACGCTGCCTTACGGTCAAGGAATAAAACTATAGTAGGACGTCAGAAAGTATGTTTGTGTTAGATAATCTCCTGGATATTTGGTCTATACATCCACGTCCAGGTCTGATGCAAATATTAGTCCGACGGGAACACCTTACTACTGTCACGCCCCCTCTACAGTCAGTAGTGTGACATCGCTGTCTTACCATTTTCTAACTGACCTGTCTGGCATGGCAGGTCTCAAATAAGGATGAGTTTCAGTCAATATAGCTCGGTTGGGTCATCACGAGAGGCGAGCCCAACCACCACGTCAAGGTATCAGCTACGGTTGGGATTTGTTGAAAGGCATTCACGAGCTGGGATATCACTAATTTCCTTTCCTAAAGTTGGACTGATGTTGGGATGGATGTCGTTGGAAGTTTCAAGTAGGTTATTTGCATACTGATTTAGGGGATTACGTAAGATGGAGTTATCATATGCATCATACATAAAGTGGCCACAGATGCTAACGTTTTCATTTCAAGTATGCAACACATATACCCGAAATAACAGATTCCGATTAGTCATATCAATTTCACTTTGAAAATAGAATTAAAGGTTCTTAATTTCTAACCTTATAAGCTGTTTTAATTTGATATGAAGATGTAGTCTGTGTAGTAACTATTGATTTCGACTGCAATTTTAAGCTCGTAGAATACATTTAACTGACTTACTTTTTAATGCGAATTCAGAAGCATCAGATACCTTTTGCTAGGTGGTGCCAACTTTGCTATACTGCCAACAGTAACTTAATGAACTAATTCTACGTCTTAATTTGAAAGACACCAGGTTTCTTCGAACCTACTCCAATACCCACGAGTATTTAGCACGGATTTTGTTAAGGTTCATCATATGTGTGTATCTACATCCTAGATAAGATTTTTTCGGAATTTTAGATGCAAATACTTATGGGATGTAGCCCAACAGTATCATTTTTGAAGAGGTTGGATTATGATTTACTCCGTGTCCGTTATATCGTCCAGTCAAATAGACAGCCAAACAGGAATAATAGTGATTTTCTAATCCTAAATGTAAGAAACTTTATGAAAAAGGAAATTACTGTGAGATTATTTGTAGCCGAAAACAAAAACAGCATGTAATATACCTCCAATTCTGCTGCACGACTAAGACGGTTGATCATAGATACAGCATTAGCTTCTATCTCTTCTTCTGTAGGTGGATTAGAACGTCGATGACTCAACCATGAATGCCATTCAGGAGGTACAGACGATAATTCTCAATTATTTTGTGGAAAATACGAAAAGTAATTAGCAGTAAAATCGAAACCACAAAAAAAGACTTAGAAAATATTCTATTCTTTCAACGTAAAGGAATCCCGTGAAATATATAGAAATAGGGTTATACAATGGTAAGGAATCCGCTACTATATATGTTATATACGAACGAGGAGTAAATGAATGGTAACTGCTAGGAATTAATTATGGAATATTATTACATATGTTCTTATTCGATAATTATTCAGTAACTAGATTATAGATATATTCAAATTTCTTTTACCATAAGCTTTCTATATGACGACCTATTGGCTACTACAACATGATTTACCATCATTAACGTACTCCCAATTTATCAGCTACAGCCTCCCATACTCACAGTCACTTTTGACTTGATATTGCCTTATTATTATTTCTCATTTAACGGTGTGTGTTCTAATCTGCTTGTATACACACTATGTCTGAACTATACGATTCATGCAGTGGAGACTGAGATTGTGTTCTAGACTGAATTGGCAGGGTTATACAAAAATTTAGTATACATAATCCCAATAAAGACTCAGAGTTGGCACAAGGCTGATCGTGCTGGTTAACACAACATTGGTTTAGTGCGGGGACAAGGTCGTAGAAGTCAATATTGATTTATAACTCGGAGATCTTTGACCAGAATTATTTATTTATTTGGACACATGAATATTGGTACAGGGGAGCGCCAATATATATGCGCCACACAAAACAATGAAAATTCGAGAGGAATACAAAAAAAAGCTAAGGAGCGCAACAAAAAAAAAGAGAGAACAATAACGAAGAGATTGGTGTTAGGTAATGTACTAGTAATCAGGGAACGCAAAGGTACAATCGGAAGAAATCTTTCAGGTAAGGGAGACACAACCACTGTTTATGAAGAAAATAAAAGAAGGTTACAGCAGGATCGCCACTGGCTTCTATTCTGAGCCATATCTGATAACGTCTCTAGCCACTGTGTAGCACCATCTCTCAGACCCCAACCAGGGAGTCGTGAAGAACCAACACACGCCAGTCCTTTGCAGCTTTCTTTCATGCCACGACACCATGTCATGCACTGACCACCTCTCCGCTTCTTCCAACCAGTCCCAGAGTCGGCAAATAATGCACGACGTGGAATTCTCTGGGACGACATTCGGAGAACATGTCCAAGCCACCGAAGTCGGTGTTTCAAGATGGTGACACCAATTGAATTATCATCTCTGTGCCCGAACACACGATGCCGAACCTCTGCATTACTGACATGGTGTTGCCACTGAATGTCAGCAATCCTTCGGAGACAGCGATGATCGAACACAGAGAGTCGTCTAACGTCCTCAACTCGGAGAGGCCAGGTTTCACAAGCATAGAGCAAAACTGCTCTCACCGACGCGTTGTAGATCCGACCTTTTACGGCCAGACTAACATCACGAAGGCGCCATAGATGGCCCAGATTGGCATAAGCCGCTCTGGCTTTCACTATTCGTGCATTGATCTCATCACTCACACCCCCACCAGCACTTATACAGCTACCCAGATACACTAACTTCTCGACTACGTCTATCTGTTCACCATCCAGGGTGAGTACAGGATTGGAATCCTGCCAGTCTTGTAGGAGTACTTTGCACTTCGAAGGTGCAAAGCACATACCATACCTACGGACACTGATTGCCAACTGATTAAGTGCGGATTGCATGCCTTGGGCATTATCGCACAGTAAGACAATATCGTCCGCATACTCAAGGTCGAGAAGTCTTTCTCCAGGCAACAGATCCACACCACCATTACTTACATTCATCAGAGCTGTTTCCAGAATGTCATCGATGGCAAAGTTGAAGAGGAATGGTGAGATTGGGCAACCCTGCCTAACCCCACTACTCGAATGGAACAGAATTCGTATGAATACTTTACGACACTGATTAAGTTGTGTTGAAGTGCTTTCAGTATGTTGCTTAGATATTTAGATAAAGCATATGTGGAGTATTTGTGAAGTCTACTATGGGGTCCTAAAGGAATATGAGTTTTTGGTTATCAATAAAGGGGTGATGCGGTGTTGGATTGAGGGTATAAAGTAAGCCATATGGAAACGCCAATAAATGACTTTAGTTCTTTAGGAAATTCACATGTCTCAGATTTAACTTTACTTTTAACCACTTGTAATTTTTTTGAGTCGATCTTTGAGTATGGTCCCGTCGATGGATAATTAAGAGCTTTTTCTTCATAGTCATTTGTGTTCCCAACCACTATTGTATTCCCTTTGTCAGCTTTGATAATCACAATGGTTCTGTCTTTCTATAATGAGCGCAAAGCTTTCCATTGTTCTTTGGAAACATTAGGTGGAAGGGATATCTGTTTTGTTAATATGTGAGATGTTTTTTTTAATGTAATGTATGAGACCCAAACGACTACATTTGACCTTATTTATTCTCCACATACACCTTATTTCAATCCCACTACTTGATATTACAAATGTATACATTTTTCACATTCACACTCTGACACATAAATTAATACAGTGATAAAGCATACAAATTCACCTTGACAAAGAATAACCTGATATTGAAAAATTCAGATTCATTATGATTTTAACTGTACCATAATATTCTGCAACTCCGCCTGTAGCTCTTATAGGGTTACTGCCGGTCCCAAGCCCGGGTAAAGGAGGAGGGTTGGGCATGGGGTTAGCGTCCCCATCCCGTAGAAAACTAACTCGCTAAAAAACGCTTACCAGAAAAAATAATCCAAACCATTTTAACTCTGCCCTGGGAGTTGGATGGTCTTCATTTAGAAGAATTATGACGCTTCATGGTGAAAGCCAAGCTCCTTCGGAAGCCATGAGGCCGATGCCCCTTCTAACAACCAGAGCAACAATTTTTATAGGTACATGGAACGTTCGAACAATGTGGGATACCGAGAAGACCAGTCAAATAGCAATGGAAATGAGGAGATACAACTTAGCAGTACTGAGAATCAGCGAAACCCACTGGACCCAGGCTGGACAGAAAAGGCTAGCTACGGGAGAGATGCTGCTATACTCCGGTCACGAAGAGGACAATGCTCCACACACTCAGGGAGTCGCTCTTATGCTGTCCAAAGTAGCACGAAATGCACTTGTAGAATGGGAATCTCACGGATCCAGAATCATCAAAGCATCATTCAAAACAAAGAAGGAGGGGATCTTAATGAATATTATCCAATGTTATGCACCCACCAATGAGAGCAACGACGACATTAAAGATCAGTTCTACGAGCGGCTACAGTCAATCATTGAGAAATGCCCAAGGAAGGACCTAACTATTCTGATGGGAGATCTAAATGCCAAAGTCGGAATAGACAACACTGGATATGAAGATATTATGGGACGACATGGACTGGGAGAGAGAAACGAAAATGGAGAAAGATTTGCAAATCTATGTGCATTCAACAAATTGGTCATAGGAGGTACAATATTTCCACACAAGCGTATACACAAGGCTACATGGATCTCACCGGACCACACTACAGAGAACCAGATAGATCATATTTGCATCAACAAAAAATTCCGAAGGACAATGGAAGATGTGAGAACCAGGAAAGGAGATGATATAGCTTCAGATCACCACCTAGATGTAGACAATTTAAAACTGAAGCTAAAAATGGAACTGGACAAACAGCAATACAAAGGTTCAATACAGCCTTCCTTCGAGATACTGACAAACTCAATGAATTCAAGTTAGCTCTGAACAACAGGTTCCAAGCCTTACAAGATCTACTGAAAGAAGAAGAAACTAGTATGGAGGACAACTGGAAAGGCATCAAGGAAGCATTAACTTCAACATGTCAAGAGGTTATGGGTTTAAGAAATACCATCATAAGGAATGGATCTCTACAGAAACACTGGACAAGATCAAAGATAGGAAGAACAAGAAGGCAGCAATGAACAACAGCCGAACACGAGCAGAGAAAGTCCAAGCACAAGCTGAATACATGGAAGCAAACAAGCAAGTGAAGAAAAGCATTAGAGCCGACAAGAAGAAATACGTGGAAGAATTAGCAACGACGGCGGAAAAAGCTGCTAGAGAAGGAAATATGAAACAGCTTCACGATACAACGAAGAAACTAGCAGGGAAAAATAGTAAAACAGAGAGGCCAGTCAAAGACAAAGAAGGTAAGCCAATCACCGAAATTCAACAACAGCGGAACAGATGGGTAGAATACTTCGAGGAACTCCTGAATAGGCCGGCTCCAATGAATCCACCGGACATCGAAGCAGCACACACAGATCTTCTATAGATGTCAACTCACCAACGACGGGAGAAATCAGAATGGCCATCAGACAAATCAAGAACGAGAAAGCAGCAGGACCCGACAACATACCAGCTGAAGCACTGAAATCAGACATCGAAGCAACCACAAGCATGCTTTATCTTCTATTCAAAAAGATTTGGGAGGAGGAACAAGTGCCAATGGACTGGAAAGAAGGACACCTCGTCAAGATTCCAAAGAAAGGTGATCTGAGCAAATGTGAAAACTACAGAGGCATTACACTACTGTCAATACCAGGGAAAGTCTTCAACAGAGTGTTGCTGAACCGGATGAAAGATGCAGTAGACGCCCAACTTCGAGATCAACAAGCTGGATTCCGTAAGGATCGGTCGTGCACAAACCAAATTGCAACACTACGGATCATCGTTGAACAACCAGTTGAGTGGAACTCATCACTATACATCAAATTCATTGATTATGAAAAGGCATTCGTCAGTGTAGATAGGACATTATGGAAACTTCTTCGACACTACGGAGTTCCTGAGAAGATTGTCAATATTATCCGTAACTCATACGACGGACTACAGTGCAAAGTAGTGCATGGTGGACAGCTGACAGATGCATTCCAACTAAGGACCGGAGTCAGACAAGGCTGTTTACTCTCTCCCTTCCTCTTCCTTCTGGTGGTCGACTGGATTATGAGGACCTCGACATCTGAAGGAAAACACGGAATACAATGGACAGCTCAGAATCAATTAGATGATTTGGACTTCGCAGATGACCCAGCCTTCCTATCGCATACACACGAACAGATGCGGATAAAGACAGCCAGTGTAACAGCAGTCTCTGCATCAGTGGGCCTCAGTATACACAAGTGGAAAACCAAGGTCCTCAAATTCAAAGTGGAGAACAGCAATCCAATCACTCTTGATGGCGAAACTCTGGAAGATGTAGAGTCCTTCACATACCTAGGAAGCATCATCGATGAACAAGGAGGTTCAGATGCAGACGTAAAAGCAAGGATTGGCAAAGCAAGGACAGCATTCCTATAATTGGAGAACATATGGAACTCAAAACAACTTTCAACCAATATCAAAGTGAGAATCTGCAATACCAACGTCAAGGCAGTTCTACTGTATGGAGCTGAAACTTGGAGAACTTCAGCAACCACAATCAAGAAAGTACAAGTATTTATAAATAGCTGTCTACGCAAGATACTCAACATCCATTAGCCGGATACCATCAGCAACAGGCTACTGTGGGAGAGAACAAACCAGCTTCCATCTGAAGAGGAAATTAGGAAAAGACGATGGAAATAGATAGGACATACATTACGCAAATCGTCAAACTGCATCAAGAGGCAAGCCCTAACTTGGAATCCTGAAGGGAAGCGGAAAAGAGGAAGGCCAAAGAACACGTTATGTTGGGAAATAGAAGCAGATATGAAAAGGATGAATAACAACTGGAAAGAGCTGGGTTGGATGGAGAATGCTGGTGATCGGCCTATGTTCCTTCACGAGGAGTAACAGGCGTAAGTAAGTAAGTAAGTAAGTAATAATATTCTGCATTGTTTCCTTTGTACTATTATAATTTAATTCGATTATACGTTTACTCTGAAGAAGTGGCTTACATTAAGTCACGAAATGTCAGAAATACAACTTTTCTACTCATTGGGATATAACAAAAATATATTTATTATCAACTTTCTACCCAATGCTCAATCTATTTGGAACTATCAAGTCCAACCCGTGGTGGACTTAGTTTTAGGCTTGTGACGCTTATGTATGATGCTCTTCAAGGACTGGAACTTGTCGAACTAAGAGAAAATTTGGAGTATGATTTTTATGAAAGATGCATATAAGTATTGATTGATACCAGAATATAACCACTAGGGCAACCAAATTTTTAGCATATGTACCGTCGAAGCCAGTACAGCTAGGATGCAGTTAGACTATCTAGACTTCACAGATGATGCAGAAGACAACCAGTGTAGCAGCAGCAGCAGGTCTCAACATACACAGATGAGAAAGCAAGATTCTCCGATACAAGACAACATGAACCAGTCAATTCACACATGACAGACAAGTTTTGGAAGATGTAAAAACCTTTACATATTTGGGCAGCATCATTAATGAGCACGGTGAATCTGATGCAGATGTGAAGGCACTAATCGGCAAAACAACAGCAGCATATTTACAACTGAAGAACATCTGGAACTCAAAACAACTGTCAACCAACACCAAGGTCAGAATTTTCAATACAAATATCAAGACAGTTCTAATGTATGAGGCGGAAACTTGGAGAACTACGAAAACCATCATCCACAAGATTCAAGTGTTCATTAACAGCTGTCTACGCAAAACACTTCAGATCCGTTGGCCGGACACTATCAGCAACAACCTACTGTGGGAGAGAACAAAGCAGGTCCCAGCGGAGGAAGAAATCAGGAAGAAGTGCTGGAAGTGGATAAGGCACACGTTGAAGAAAACACCAAACTGCATCACAAGGCAAGCCCTCAAGGTCAAAGAACACATTACGCCGAGAAATGGAGAGACATGAGAAGAATGGACAACAATTGGATAGAACTAGAAAGGAAGGTTCAGGACAGAGTGGGTTGGAGAACGCTGGTCGGCGGACTATGCTCCATTGGGAGTAACAGGCGGAAGTAAGTAAAGCAAGTGGATTAATGCTACATTAAATGGTATATGATGCCGGTGATCTATAAAGCTAAAAAAGGACGAGTACTATACTTTGATTTGTTAATTCATGCAAACTATTACTAACATACTAATATACAAAAGTAAAAATATGGCTCACGATTGATTTCGGTTCATAAACTGACCTACATCCATATTCCCATGTGAACATTCTAATCCATTTTGTCCGGGCATAAGAAAAAACCTCTTTGGTAATTTTGATAAATGAGTATGTTCACTTGCTTTATTTGGTGGTGCTTCAAAATATCGATTACCTGATTTATCTACGCCAACCAGACGTGGTCGTTCGCGATAAAACATTGCTCGAAATGAAAGAAATATTTGTTTGAGTATAGACCGATTCAAGTTCGATGTTGTCACGAGTGTGCTGAAACAAATTAAATGGAAAATGTACACAAAGTAATATCGAATTAGACTTTGGACACTAGTAAAGTTGTTGTAGTATGATAACTTGAACACGAGTTATTGTTTATAATTTATCATAAAGGAATACAATATTTGTTATGAGTACATATTTAGTTGTTAAAAAGATAAAAACAGAAGTTCGATTATGAAAAATAATGTACAATGTGGTCGACGGACAATTGCTCATAAGAGTGAACACTCAATGTAAACTACCAAATGAACAGATCATAACTAATCAGGAAAATAGGTCCCATTCTTTATGCGAAATGATACTTATATACACACAAGAACGAAGTTTCATGTCAAGTAATCGTAAGATATAAATTTCCGAAACACTCACGCGTGAGAGGGATCAAGAATGATTTTAGTTCTTCATTGAATGTGCAAGATATACTTCGGCAATTACTATTGTGAATTGTTCATCAATTAAGTTGAATTACCTTTCGTTTTTCAACTAACAGTTGGTCAAATTAATAGTCACGTAAAAGTTCCAAACACAATCAACACGTTCTGTCATTTTATTACCTTTGAAATGCATCTAATAGAATGCAGAGAACTCCTGAAATATATAGACCTTTGACAGAAATTGGATAAAATTACCGCAGACTAAGGATGACACTGATTGCATGAATCTGAAATTGGGTACTAACAGATACTGTTCAAAAATCAAGCTTATCGTTGTGAAAATACAATGGCCCATGTAATTAAAAACCTGTAAGGATTGAGGAAATATGAATATATTCAGATAGCTTATTCATTGTAACTATCTGATGGGACAGATACGCAATAGAATTATAGCGAAGAACGCAGGTGAGAAAAACCGATTATATTTAGCCCGAAATTACTGTTACTTGAAATAGAAAAACCATACTTCATTTGCAAAATGTTCATTAATTGTTTCGGACTTCATTGTTCCTATATTTCCATATCAATTGCTTTCTGTTTCCTCTCTTTCTTCCTCGATCTTCTCAACCTTCTGCTGACAGATATTCCGTTCCTGACCAGCGTTTTATACTACTTATATCGACGTAAGTAGCACACACCAAAGAACCATGTTTAATTAAAACAAAACCAAGACTAAAACATTCTGGAAAAAGGGATTAGGGAGTTTGATAAATAAATATTTTTATGTAAATTTCAATGTCGATAATCCAGCATAGAAAATTTTCCTTTTCAATTTATTAAAAAACATTTTAACATGTAATGCAATTAGTTCTGAAATAGGAACCACGTAAACTTACCATTTTGTATGATATAGGATAAATCTGGGTGTAGAACGTATGTAAAGGCCTAGAGCTGGTCCACTTATTTTCCATAAATTCTTTACGGGAGTAGATTGTGCCTAAACAAAACATAACAAGAAGTTATACATAGTAATTTAAAAATGAGCCTTGATAGTGTCTAAATAAAAACGGAAATCCAATAGTGAGTCTAGTTGCCATTTCCAATAAACAGGAATGAAAATACAATTATTGAATTTAGAATACAGATGTACATATCGTCTAGATGCATTCAACCTGCCCATTGTATTCCGTGCTTTCCCTCAGATTTGGAGGTCTTAAGAATCCAGTGAACAACCAGAAGAAAGAAAAAGGAGGAGAGTAGGCAGCCATGTCTGATCCCGGTTCTCATTTGGAATGCGTCTGCCAGCTGTCCTTCATGCACTTTACAGTGTAGTCCGTTGTATGAATCCCGGATAATGTTGACGATCTTCTCAGGTACAACAGTGTCGAGTAAGATTTTCCTACCCACACTGTCAAACGCTTTCTCATAGTCAAGGAAATTGATGTGTCGTGACGAATCCCATTCAATCGATCGCTCAACAATCATCAGTGATGTCGCGATTTGGTCTGTGTTCGACCGGTCCTTACGGAATCCAGTCTGTTGATCCCAAAGTTGGGTGTGTGCCGAATTCTTCATCCATTTCAGCAATACTCTTGAAAACGTTTCCTGGTATCTATAGTAGTGTGATTTCACTGTAGTTCGAACATTTGCTCACATCTCCTTTCTTTGCTATCTTGATATCGTTCTTTCCAGTTTGTCACTGACACTTGGTCTTCCTCTAAATCGTCCTAAAAAGAATGAGGAGCATCTTTGCAGTTGCTTTTATATCTGACTTCAGCTGGTATATTGTCAGGTTGTGCTGTTTCCCCAGTCTTGAATTGTTTGATGACCAACTTTATCTCTTCGACCGTTGGTGAATTGACATCTATAGGAAGATCTGTGTATTCAGCTTCGATATCGGGTGGATTCAGTGTAACTGGTCTATTTATAAATTCCTCGAAGTGTTCCACCATCTCCTCCTCTGTCCTTGAATATCAGTGATTGGCCTACCTTCTTTGTCCTTGACCGGTCTCTCTGGTTTACAATATTTCCCTCCCAGTTCCTTCGTTGCACCATACAGTCTTCTCATATTTCATTCTCTGGGAACTTTCTCCGCCGTCATTACTATGTCTTCCACATATTTCTGCTTGTCGGCTCGAATGCTCCTCCTCATTCTCTTGTCTGTTTCTGCATATTCGGCCTGTCCATTGGCCTTTTCTGCTCTCGTCCGACTGTTGTTGATTGCTATTTCCTCTTCATGAATTCTCCCCAGAGTTTCCATAGAAATTCACTGTATATTCTTATGCTTCTTGTGGCCCATTACCTCCTGACACGTTGAAGTTAGTGCTTCTTTGATCCCTTTCCTGTTGTCCTCCATAGTAGTTTCTTCTTCTTTCAGTAGATCTTGTAAGGCTTGGAACCTGTCACTGAGAGCTAACTTGAATTCGTGGAGTTTGTCAATATCTCGTAGGAAGGCTGTATTGAAGGTTTGTTATGCTATTTGCTCAGTGATTCTTAAGCCCCAGTTTCATCTAGGCAACTACTAGGTGGTCATCTGAAGCTGTCAGTCCCTCTCTCGTTTGTCACACCTTCCATTGACCTTCTGAATTTACTAGTAATACAAATATGATCAATCTGGTTCTCCGTGATTTGGTCGGATGAGACCCATGTAGCCTTGTGAATGTGTTTATGTGGGAATATAGATCCTACAACCATTTTGTTCATTGTACATAAATTTGCAAATCTCTCGCAATTCTCGTTCCTTTCTCCCAGTCAGTCCATTTCGTCCCATCATATCTTCACATCCGGTGTTGTTCATTTCGACTTTGATATTTAGGTATCCTATGGGGATGGTTAAGTCCTCTCCTGTACATTTGTTTATGATAGACTGCAGCCCCTGGTAAAACTGATCTTTATCGTCTTCACTGCTATTATCAGTGGGTGTATAGCATTAGATAACATGCATTGTGAACCCCTACTTCCTTGTTTTACAGGATACTTTGGTGATCTCGAATCCATGAGTGCTTCTTTGGACAATATCAGTGCAACTCCATGTGTGTGGAGCATTTTCTTCTCCGTGATCAGTGTACTGCAGTATCTCTTCTGAATCGATTCCTCTCAGTCCAGCTTCGGTTCAATGTTTCGCTGATTTCGAGCACTGTTAAATTGTATCTCCTCAATTAACAGAACCTATAGAACTTTAAAACAAGTTTTGGCAGTGGGTCTAGTTCTTTATTTCACTAGTTTTGTAAGATACCTGTTTATATGCATAATACTACAAATGAACCACCCTAGTTACGAGTTTGACTATTAGAAATTATGTATTTCTATATTCTGAGTAGCTCAATTGTAAAGCATTGATTGATCTTCTGGACATGAGTACAAAATTCAAAATAGAATCAAGCGATTCAGAATTCTGAGGACGTAGACAGGACAATGGTCAGATATAACCAATTGAGATCAAGGTCGACAATGATGAGTAAAAATTCGAACAGCTCACTTCAATTTGAAGTTTGTTCGGATGTTATCCAGGACGATCAAGCTTGAGAACAAAAATTCATCTGCATCAAGATAAAAAACGCACCGACAAAGTTGTCACATTGAAGTTCTGTTTAAAGTTTTTAATCATTGGTAAACAGACAAAAGAACTCGCCAGAAGTTTGTAAAGTTATATACTACTTATTTCAGTAAATAAAGGAAAACTACTGTAGACTCAGAGTTTATTTTCTTACTAATTCCGGTACATATATAGAAACGACAGTATATTTATTGTCAAGACAATACTTTACTAGTTAGTTTTGTTCAAAACAAACTACATATCTTCGATAATTTCCTAATTATCAATAGAAATATAACTGATGTGATTTTCTTTTTCTAACCATTGTATATTCAACATGAATAGTGAATGAAACATCTACATTGAATTCCATTTGTGAATACTAAGTTAAATCAACTTTCATTTTCTAGAGTCGGCGATAGGATGTGAATAATTTTCTTGAATGTTTAGTCATGATGCTTTGGTATTTCATGAGACGATTTTTACCTTTTTTTTAAGAACATAGATTTCTTGATTCATAAAATACATCATACTAATTCCTTATTGATAAAATATTAAAAATTTAGATATAGACAATAAGATCAGATTTATTGTACATGATTTCCTTTTTTAAAGGCATCATCAAATTAAACAAACAATATATTAACCGTTACTACTATACGAATATGTTTAAAAGGCAAAAAATGTAACAAATTTCCATCATTTATTTTTAAAATAAAAAGAAACAAAAGACCGCATATAGAGCGGAGAAAATGCAACTTCGATAAAAAGTTCTTAATGTGTACATATGTAGAATATATCAGAGTTAAGAGAAGAAATTAATAATAACACACGAATAGTTTAGAAATAATGAAAACTCATAACAAAACTAGTAAGATATCCGGGAGAGAATCGATTCTTGTGGGATTTCTTTGACTGGAAATGAAACCATAAATTAATCGGATGAAACCCTGGATGTTGGTAATGTAGGTGGAATATTAAATGGAACCATTGTAGTGTGTATGTCAATGACGCCCACCGGATGAATGATCCTAGAGAACAGTAAAAAGACATTTTTAAAAAATGCTGAAACTATTACCATAATCATGATGACAGTTCTAAATAATTTATGTTCAGCTTACTTACTAAGTAAAAAATAAATACTATAGCATCAGTGTTAAGTGTTATTAAAAGCATGACATTGCCACAAAAGATCGAATATTATCTAACACTTTCTTGATTTTAAAAGATGAACAAAAGGGCCAGATTTACGGTGAAATGTAATAATTTAAACATGAAAGTTCGTTGACGTTAAAATCTGATGATTGGTGGAAGGGATAGTTTACCATGTAACTTAAGTTATGGTCAATTGACTAACTCAGGACGAGGAAAGATGTTCGTTCAGTCAGTCAGTAACAACGTAGAACTTCGTACGTACGTACATTAGTTCGACTTGCCACACCACATTAGCACAGAGATGCAGTGGTCGATTCAAATCCCGTAGTGGTAGAGGTAATAAGAGTATAAGCAGTAATCGGAAAGATTAGTGTTTGGAGATGTTACTTAAAGAGTATAATACAGTGTTCAAGGTCTTATAATCACTAACAATCAGTTAGTAGTTATAATAATATGTTCTATGTAAATGCTTTGGTTCTTTTTAGATTCTCAACGAGCACAGAAACATCTTTACATGAAACAACTGTTTGGTGGCTAAAGAGCTGATTTTATTTTTTGATTCAACATATAATCAAGTCGTTTAAAACTGAAAATTTACACGCAGATACTGGTTACAAAATGAGTGTTAGGAAAAAGAGAAAATGGTTACTCTGTAGGTATAACATTTATGAATATGCGGTAAGTATATCACATACCTGATTACTCTTTGAATTCGCTTTGACATTATTCACAGCATTAGTACTTCGCCTAGTTCGTTTGGCAGGAGGTGAGGCAGCTGATGCATTGATATCGTTTTCTTTTTGATGATCTGACTGAGCTTCTATTAGTTGCATTCTGGTTTGAGAAAGGTCTGTTTCTAACTTATTTACTTGAGCAGTGAGTTCTTGGACCTTGATAAAATAAAAAGTGACAATGATCACAACTTTTTCAAGCAACTATGATGTAAGCATGTCGTGACGTGATAGCATACAAGCGTCCCACATTATACCTAAAAATTTAAGCACTAGGATTTGTTCCCTATATACTTCATATCATTTGTGACCACTTTTACGACACTGAATGGATTTTGTCTGGTAGTGAAATGAGGCGAATAGTGAGAAATTTGCAATTGCGTGATTGCAGAAAGCGTTAGATAGCGTGTTAGGAGATCAGAGAAGTGATAAAAATAAGTACAACGAACATTTATTAACAGGTTTCCGTGTCTTGAACAAGTTTTAAGAATGTTGATCAAGTGGATTAAGAAGACCGAACTACATGTCAACCCTACGAGTTGAAAAAGTAGTAAAATAACCTGCAACTGTAACTTATCATTTCATAATCATAAAAT